GTTGCTTCTTCCTTGGTTAGTTTCCATCCATTGTTTCTTGTTTTGCCTTCCGGTGCTTTGGAAAATAGGTTGACCCCCTTCTTGTTTGTGGCAGCCCCTCAAATATTGGAATGCTGCTATCATGTCACCCCCTAGTCCTTTTCACTAGACTAGACATGCCCCAAGATCCATCTGGATCCTGAGCCTATCTTCTGGGTTGTTGGCTATTCCTGCCAGCTTGGTGTTGTCTGCAAATTTGATGAGTTCCCCTTCTATACCCTCAACTAAATCGTTTATAAAGATACTGAAGAATATTTGGCCTAAAACAGAACCCTGGAGTAACCCACTGCTTACTTCCCTCCATGTAGATCTAGTTCCATAAAGGACTGCACGTTGAGTGTGGTTTATCAGCCAGTTACAAATCCATCTGGTGGTGGGGCTGTCTATCCCGCACATTTCTAGCTTTCTAAGAAGTAGCTTGTGGTCTACTTACTGAAATCCAAGTATATTATGCCCACAGCATTTCGCTGCTCCACTAATTTAGTCCCTTTGTCAAAGAATAAAATGAGATTTGTTTGGCATGATAAACCCATACTGGCTTCTGGTTTTAACTTTGCTTGCTTCTAGGTGTTCACAGATCTGTTGCTTGATTATCTTTTCCAGGATCTTCCCAGATAATTGTTCTGTCCTGAGCCTGCAAAGGCAGGCTCAGGACATTGCAACGGTCCCGGGCAGTTGCAAGCTGCCCGGGACCAGACTGGCTGGTGCCGGTGCTCGCGCGCATGCGGAGGCGCGCAGCCGCCTAAATGTTGCTTTTTGGCCCGGGGATTGTCTTTAAGAGAGGCTGAGAGGTTTGCATACCTCAGAGTTGTAACGGGGCTACAGAACAACAAATAAAGAGGCTCCTGAAACTACGAGATGCTTCATGAAGTTATTGCCATTAACCGAGGACTCAACAGTAATGATGTCAGGCTGATTGGTCTGTAGTTCCCTGGATCAGTTTGTTTTTCCTTTTTTTGAAGATGGGAACCACATACGTTCTTTTCCAGTCCTCTGGTAGTTCCCCAGCGCTCCAGGATCCTTGAAAAATATTAGTTCAAAGGTTCCAGGATCACTTTTGAAAGCTCCTTCCGAAGTCTGGGATGTAATCCGTCAGGTCCTGGTGATATGAATTCTTCTAGAGCAGATGCAAAGAAATAATTAAGGATGTCTGCTTTCTGCTTTCTGCCCGTCACCTCCTTTCCATCTTCTTCCATTAGTATGCCAATTGTTTCTCAGACGTTTTTCCCCCTTATTTTTCACATTTTAAAAGAAACTCTTTAAATTACTTTTGACATTTGTTGCAAGTCTTAGTTCATTCAGGGCCTTAGTTTTCCTGACTTCATCTTTGCAGATTTGAGCTATAAGCTGGTATCTGCCTTACTTTTGTGGCCCTCTTTCCATTTTTTTTAAAAAAAACTTATCCTTTTTGTCTTTCAGTTTGTCAGAGGATTCTTTGTGCAACCACGCTTTCCTTACAGCTGTCTGGTTTTCATTTTTATTTATTCTTGTGCAACCCTGGCCCGGGTGGGATCCCCAAATTATTCTTCTGACATGGTTTTCAAAAATACTTTTTGAATATGGGAGAAAACATTTCTCTGTTTTTCTGGCAACCAGGCAAGTTAGCATTGTCAGGTGCCACCCAACCTGCTTTGTGTGGTTGTTCATTTCATTTGATATCAAACCTGACTGCAATGCAACATCACAAAATTAAAACCCTGGAGAGGGAAGAAAAAAAAAGAATATTGCACAGTACTGCATACTATAAACCAGTGGTGGCGAACCTATGGCACGGGTGCCAGAGGCGGCACTCAGAGCCCTCTCTATGGGCACGCACACCGTCACCCCAGTCCTAGGCCTTCAGCTGGGTTTTATAAAACCTTTTCGCTTTAGGCCTCCGTCGTCTTGTGCAAAAAAAAAAAAAGGTTCAATCAATCAGTCAATTTCAACTTCTCGCAGGGGAAAAAAAGATCTTGTAAAGTTGTAATTGATTGATTGAACTTTTTAGTCCCACCCAGTCTGCCGTTACCACCTCAGCACGCCCACCCAATGGGCTACACCCAGCCAATGGGCCACACCCACCCAGCACCCAACAATGCATAAGTGGGTTTTGGGTTGCAGTTTGGGCACTTGGTCTCTAAAAGGTTCGCCATCACTGCTATAAACTGACTCTATTGTCACTTACTGAGATGGACAGCCATATAAATTGAAAGGAAGGAAGGAACAACAATAGCCATAGCAATAGCATTTAGACTTATATACTGTTTCGCAGTGCTTTACAGCCCTCTCTAAGCAGTTGACAGAGTCAGCATTATTGCCCCCCAACCATCTGGGTCCTCATTTTACCCAACCTGGAAGGATGGAAGGCTGAGTCAACCTTGAGTTGGTGAGACTCAAACTGCCAAACTGCTGGCAACTGGGAGTCAGCAGAATTAGCCTGCAACAATTCTGCAATAATTCAGTAATTCTTGCATTCTAACCACTGCACCACCAGGAAGGAAGGAAGGAAGGAAGGAAGGAAGGAAGGAAGGAAGGAAGGAAGGAAGGAAGGAAGGAAGGAAGGAAGGAAGGAAGGAAGGAGTAAAGTTGCCCTTCTCCCATCCCAAATTTACCCCAGAAGGACACTATTGCTTGTTAATTTTGGGTAATGTAGAACTACCTAGTCCAGTGATGGCGAACCTTTTAGAGACCGAGTGCCCAAACTGCAACCCAAAACCCACTTATGCATCGTCGGGTGCCGGGTGGGTGTGGCCCATTGGGTGGGCGTGGCTGCGGTGGTAACGGGCAGACTGGGTGGGACTAAAAAGTTCAATCAATCAATTCCAACTTTGCGAGATCTTTTTTTCCCAGGGAGAAGTTGACTGATTGATTGAACCTTTTGTTTTTTTTTTGCACACAGCGACGGAGGCCTAAAGCAAAAAGGTTTTATAAAACCCAGCTGAAGGCCTAGGACTGGGGTGACGGCGCACATGCCCACAGAGACGGCTCTGAGTGCCACCTCTGGCACCCGTGCCATAGGTTCGCCACCACTGACCTAGTCAAACTGATGCAACAGTGTCTTTAACTAAGCTACTGTATATCCTCAGACAAGAATGCATTGGATCTGCTTGGACTTTTTAGTACTAAGATTTGCCTTCCACTTATAACCAAGTAGAAAATAAAGATGAAATATGAGTCAGTAAAAAAAAAAAAAACGGGCTGCAGTCCAGGTTGTACAGTTCCTTGAACCTTGGCAGCTGGATTCAGTTGAAATTCCTGCCTGGTTAAGACGTGGATTGTTTTGAAAAAGCTTGTATGAGGCCTCCATGGACCAGTGAGTGATAACAAGATAACCAGAAGAGCTGAGGTCACTCGGTCTGGAATTTTGACTGTGACTGATGTATTAGCAATAGCACTAAGCACTAAGGCTATCTGCAACAACTAATGGCAGCCTTGTTTTAGGGACTGCACTTATCCTATTGAGTACATTTTTTTTTTTGTGAAGAATTCCTTTTGGTAGGCAAAATGCACTGACATTTAATCAGAGCACGAAGACGATAGGTCAGAAGCTTAAAAGATTACAATCCACAGGTGTTTGTAGGAGAACGATGGGTTAAAAGCTCTGTCTGTTTTTATGGGTAGCATCTTCTATGAGCATTGATGGAAATGTTCATTGTTAAGCTCACGTATTTCTTAGTTCTTCTGTCATTAAGTTAGATATTCTACTAAATTAGAATATTTCAAAGTATTTGTGACAGAAGGCCCTAGGTCCAAAATACAAGAAAATCAGCCTGCATGCTGATTCCGTGCTCTTTCCCTTCTTTCATAGTTTTTCTAGACAGAGCAACCATGCGCTTGTCTCTGTGACCTCTGCAAAGTTTCTGTGTCACCTGATTTTGATCTAAACCAGTTTCTCCTATCCAATGTGCACTTTCATCAAAGCAAAATGTTCAGATAGGACATGATAAGTAATTGGAGAAAACTTGAATTTTGTTTGATGAATTTGAATGAATTAAGGTTTAATATTATCTCGTTATTTTAAAGAGATGGATTGACTCTGGGATTACATATGTATAGGGCTGATCAATATTTTATTGCTATTAGGATATCTATTGCGTAGTGGAAGAAGAAATAAATGAGATTGGTGATAAAATGAGGGATGTGAGAGATTAAGAAATAGAATTGATAATTTCTTGTTTTAAATTTAAACTATTGTAATTGTAAACTGATAAAGTTATAAAACAGGTTTAATAGTAATAGAAATTTAAAATAGAAATGGAATATTTAAATGTATCATGTTAATTGAAGGGAATAGAGAGGGGATAGTGAAATGTATTGAGTTGAGTTGTTTATATATGTCTTTACTTTTGAATGTTTGACCACCCAACCACCACGGTGGGTCCTGAGTACTTTTTCTTAAGAATTTTAAAAAACCAATGTTGTTGTTGTTGTTGTTAATTGCGAAGTCGTGTCCGACCCATCGCGACCCCATGGACAACGTTCCTCCAGGCCTTCCTGTCCTCTACCATCTTCTGGAGTCCATTTAAGCTCACGCCTACTGCTTCAGGGACTCCATCCAGCCACCTCATTCTCTGTCGTCCCCTTCTTCTCTTGCCCTCAATCTTTCCCAGCATTAGGCCCTTCTCCAGTGAGTCCTTCCTTCTCATTAGGTGGCCAAAGTATTTGAGTTTCAACTTCAGGATCTGGCCTTCTAAAGAGCAGTCGGGGTTGATCACACACAATAGATTTTTTAACACAATAGAATGTGTTAAAAAAAAAGAATATTTCAAAGTATTTGTGACAGAATGCCCTAGGTCCAAAACACAAAAAAATCAGCCTGCATGCTGATTCTGTGCTCTTTGCCTTCTTTCATAGTTTTTCTAGACCAGTGTTTCTCAACCTTGACAATTTTAAGTCATGAGGACTTCAACTCCCAGAATTCCACAGCTGTGGAATTCTGGGAGTTGAAGTCCACGTGCCTTAAAATTGTCAAGATTGTGAAACACTGTTCTAGACAGAGAAACCATGCTCTTGTCTCTGTGACCTCTGCAAAGTTTCTGTGTCACCTGATTTTGATCTAAACCAGTTTCTCCTATCCAATGTGCACTTTCATCAAAGCAAAACGCTCAGATCCAATGGAGATAAGGACAGGAATCATAAGCTGAGGCATCCAGAAAAAGTTTAACAAGGAAATCATAGTCATTGCTGAGCACGAGGAAAGTCAGGTGATGGTATCAGTTACCCAAGAAAGAACCACAGCAGACTGAGACGTCTGTCAAGGGGTTTCCCCAGAGTATGGCCACGTCACAATTGTGCAATCGAAGTGCACAAAAACCAAAGTGGAGTTTCAATCTCACCATGGCGGCCACCATCTTGACTTGTTTGTCCATAACCTTCGGCCAGCCCTGGAAGATGTCAGGGGAGCAGAATTAGCCAGTTAGAAAAAGGAAGTGCCAATGGCCCCTAAGACTTCCTGCTTCTTTTCTCATCCTGTCCCATGGATGCAACTTTGACGTCTGGCCTGCTGAAACGTTAATTCCATTCTTCTTCTCCTCATACTCCACTGCTGGCACTTGATGGCTTACATTCACCCATGGGTGAGCCAGCTTTGGAAAGCAAGTATCCAAGTCACCAAGTATGTTTTTTCGGTTACCCTGGAAGAGGAAAACAGATTTAGGAGGAGAAATGATGTTAATTAAGCGTACTGAACTGGGTATGTCTAGTCCAGGGGTAGGCAACCTTGGCTCTTTTATGACTCGCGGACTTCAACTCCCAGAATTCCTGAGCCAGCCATGCTGAGGGGAAAGGGAGAGGTTTCCAAGCTGAGCCATTGCTGGCTCAGGAATTCTGGGAGTTGAAGTTCACGAGTCATAAAAGAGCCAAGGTTGCCTACCCCTGGAGTCTAGTCTAATGAAGATAAGGTCAAGGGGTGACATGATAGCAGTCTTCCAATATTTGAGGGGCTGCCACAAAGAAGAGGGAGTCAACCTATTCTCCGAAGCACCTGAAGGCAGGACAAGAAGCAACGGATGGAAACTGACCAAGGAGAGAAGCAACCTGGAATTAAGGAGAAATTTCATGACAATGAGAACAATTAACCAGTGGAAGGGCTTGCCTGTGGAGTTGTGGGTACACCGTCATTGGACCTCCTTAAGAAGGGATTTGTATGGAACGAAACTGGCTCTCCTGCTTGAGCAGGGGGCTGGACTAGAAAACCTTCATGGTCCTTCCAACCCTAGTCTATGTTCTATGTTCTACACAACAGCCCTTTTCCCAGTGGGAATTCTTCTTAAAGTGTATTCAGAAAAAACGAGAGAGAGAAAGAGGATCTTTCAAAAAATATCCAGAGGCATAAGTCACAGCTAAGAGGAAATAACAGTTTTGAGTTCACGTTTCATTTATTATAAACAAAAAGATGCAGTGTAGGTGGGAGTCGGTCAGCCAGCACCTAGCCTTAAAAAACCCCCACAGTAGTTAAAATGTTCTTTTGGAGTATCTAGAGTAGCTCCCATAAATATTTGACTTTAACAGATACCACTAATAAATCTATTTAGAATGCTGCTCTATTGTTTATACAAAGGAAAGCAATGGACTTTCTTTGTCCCGATAGCTCTAAGCAAGAGGGATCCTGCTTTTTAGCACCTTAGATAAATATTTGCAGTGCCTTTATAAAATCAACCTAACCTTGCCTGTTTTTAAGAAGATATTTATTACTTTTAAAATATCCACTGCCAGATGTCCCAACTTTGGAATCACAAGGCCATTTGGATGGTGAGCATAAACATTTGGAAGTCTCTCTGGCCCAACATAGCGCCAACCCCCCCCCCCCAAAATGGCTGTTTCTATACAGCCTTGCTGCATACACATAGATAAGGTTTCTGATAATGAGATGGATTTATGAAATAAAATCTCTTATAGGAAATCTCCACTATAAGAATCCCAGAGTTTAACACAGAATCAGCAAATCATTGCAAAAACAGAATAGTTGTGGCACACAGTGTCTGCAGGAAGGGTAACAAAAAAAATAAAAAATAAAGATGGCCATAATCTCACAATCAAAGAATAAAGAGTTGGACGGGACCTTGGAGGTCATCTAGTCCAACCCCCTGCTCAGGCAGGAAACCCTATACCATTTCAGACAAATGGCTGTCCAGTCTCTTCTTAAAATCCTCCAGTGTTGGATCACCCATAACTTCTGGAGGCAGGTTGTTCCACTGATTAATTGTTCTAACAATCAGGAAATTTCTCCTTAGTTCTAGGTTGCTGCTATCCTTGATTTGTTTCCATCCATTGCTTCTTGTCTTGCCCTCAGGTGCTTTGGAGAATAGCTTGATTCCCTTTTCTTTGTGGCAATCTCTGAGATTTTGGAACACTGCTATCATGTCCCCCCCCCCCGTCCTTCTCTTCATTAGACATACCCAATTCCAGTAACCGTTTCTTATATGTTTTAGCCTCCAGTCCCCTAATCATCCTTGTTGCTCTTCTCTGCACTTTTTCTAGAGTCTCAACATCCTTTTTAACATCGTGGCGACCAAAACTGGATGCAGTATTTCAAGTGTTGCCTTACCAAGGCATTATAAAGTGGTATTCACACTTCATGTGTTAAAATCTCTGCTCCTTTTTCTGTCACCCCAATGCCAAAGAATCTACACTAGGCAAAACTAAACAAACTGCACTCTGTTTTAGTGTAATGTATGAATCTGTTAACCCTTTGACACAGAAAGAAACATCACAAGAAATATTAGAACTCTACTTTATTGAGGAAAGGCTAAGCGCAAACGAGGCCTTTGAACTATGGTGCTAGAGAAGACTCCTGCGAGTTCCCTGGACTGCAAGGCGATCAAAGCGGTCAGTCCTAGAGGAGATCAACCCTGACTGCTCTTTAGAAGGCCAGATCCTGAAGTTGAAACTCAAATACTTTGGCCACCTAATGAGAAGGAAGGACTCACTGGAGAAGGGCCTGATGCTGGGAAAGATGGAGGGCAAGAGAAGAAAGGGATGACAGAGAATGAGGTGGCTGGATGGAGTCACTGAAGCAATAGGCGTCAGTTTAAATGGGCTCCAGAAGATGGTAGAGGACAGGAAGGCCTGGAGGAATGTTGTCCATGGGGTCACAATGGGTTGGACACGACTTCGCAGCTAACAACAACTTTATTGAGACAGTGATCACAAATGATTCTTGAAAACCTGACAGAATTTCTCCTTCCTTCCTTCTCATACCAAAGAGAATCAGGAGAGGGCAAATTTGAGTTTCTTCCTCCCTCTTTCTTGTTTTTCTGGGCTAAGCTCAAGCTTTGCTAACAATCTCTGCATCCCTTTCCATGATCATCTGCATGCATCTCTAGAGAATCAGACCATCACATGAAGTCATAATGTGGTTTATAAGTTTTGGCTTAGTTCTGATGATTTGTAGTTAAGGAATTATGGTGTGCTGTAGTTGTTGTTGCTGTTAATTGCGAAGTCGTGTCCGACCCATCGCGACCCCATGGACAATGTTCCTCCAGGTCTTCCTGTCCTCTACCATCTTCTGGAGTCCATTTAAGTTCACACCTCCTGCTTCATTGACTCCATCCAGCCATCTCATTCTCTGTCGTCCCCTTCTTCTATGGCCCTCCATCTTTCCCAGCATTAGGCTCTTCTCCAGGGAGTCCTTCCTTCTCATTAGGTGGCCAAAGTGCTGTAGTATACTGTGTGAATACAGCCATAGATTAGGGTTACATGTCCTATCCCCTGGTTTGTCTCCCATTCGTGCTAGCCATCTGGGCAATGCAACTGCTCCCTTCATTTAGAACACGTTGTTTGCCAACAATGACTGTGACCCATTGATGTGCAGGGCTCACTGTGTGAATATTACTGAAGTCTAGATTTCCTACACCTGGTACTCTTAAGATGTATTGGATTACAAAACTAGCAGTGTTTGTGTGTGCATGCACACATCGGTGTGGTGTCAGGTGCTTGAAAAGGCTACTTTAGCCTGGGACGTATGAAACCATTGGGGTAAGACTTTGCATGCTCTGAAAATGTTTTAGAAGAAATGCTTTCTTTCTTTCTTTATTTTTAAATTAAAAATATGGAACGCTTCACGAATTTGCGTGTCATCCTTGCGCAGGGGCCATGAAAATGTTCTCTATATCGTTCCAATTTTAGTATATGTGCTGCCGAAGCGAGCACAGAAGAATGCTTTAGATTGCATGAGAGCATAAAGCAGTGATGGCAAAACTTTTAGAGACCAAGTGCCCCAAAATAGGCCCTGCCCCATCCTGCTCGCTCCGCCCCCACCTCATCCTCATCCTACCCCTGGCCCCACCTGCCCGCAGGGCCACCCATTACCTCCACAGCCTGCCACAGATCGCCCAGGCGGTCCAGCAGCACCATGGCAGCCACACCGTCTGCCTGCGCCCCACAGAATCAACTGCGCATGACAGGGCACGAGGGCGGAGTCTTGTCCCTATTGCCCGGCTGCCATGTTCTTGGCTGCGCTGCTCCACGTGGGCCACGCTCAGGGGTGACTCTCCTCTGGGGGGGCTGCTGGTGAGGTGGGGGCTGCGGGGGGAGGCGGGGCTGGGACAACGGCACGTGTACCCCCAGAGAGGACTCCGCATGCCGTCTGTGGCACGGGTGCCATAGGTTCGCCACCACTGGCACAAAGCCAGCATTTCTTTAAAGCAGCTGCATCTTTTTTCAGGTTTCTTGTACTGAAACCTGTACTGTACTGTGAGCCCAAAGAAAGTTATATTCATTGAATGGCAATTAAAGGCATACTGAAGCTGCTTTAATGAGTTATGTTAAAGACCCAATATCTTTTTCCATCTCAGACATTTGCTTTAAAGAATTGCTACCCCACATGATAGTTTCTAGCTCCTCTAATAAATGAGTAGCCCCTCAGAACTGCTACTTCCTACTTGCTTAGATCAGTGGTCCCCAACTTTTCTGGCTGTATGGACCAGCAGCAGTGGTAGGAGGGAGAGGGATAGTTTTGCATGCACAACCTAACCCTGTGTAAGCATAAATGGAGCTGCATGTGCTCGCCTGCCACTTGTGCGGCCCCGGTTCCCAATGGGCCACAGACCGGTACCGGTCCACAGACCAGGGGACCCCTTGCTTAGATTCAAATTTAAAAGAGGGAGGGAATGTGTATGGGGCAATGAGGAGTGATAGAGGAATTGGGCTATTCACTGAACAAGCAGTAAATTTAATGCCTTCTGCTTGTGAAGCAACTTAGGGAGGAAAGATTATCTGAATTGGGAAAATGTAGAAAGAAGGGGAGGATGTGAGCAATTCTTTCCTCACATCCTTTCATTCATTTTCTTTCTTCTTGCAACTCCCTGCTCCCTATGTTTCTTTCCCTCCAAATGCTGCAAGCAAAGGTGATGGCTAAGCACCAAGATGACCCGACTTTTGATAACAAATCACGCCTTCCTAGAATTTCTTTGGTTACAGTAAGCAGAAATAGATGGGGGATTTACAGCAGATGGTTCCATGTAAAATGTAGCTCAGTCCTGTGGGATTGGGCTCTGGCTGAGACAAAGCTAATAAAAATGAAACAGACAGACTCACTAATTATTTGCGAGGCTATCTTGATTGGAAAAAAAAGGAGTATATACTGATATAACTGTCATTTATGTTATATTTTCGTTCCTATAGATAAGTCTGAGAGTTAATGGCAGGGTACGCATGCTAAAAGAGAGGGCTATATAAGCTCTTCTCCAAAAAAAGAGATAGGAGTGTGTGCCCTCCAAAATCTTCCCTCTTCATTATCAATTGTCTGAAAATAAATTTGAAATTCAAGGTTCAGTGGTTGTTTAAAAAGCATCTGCCTAAATATAAAGAGTCAAAGCTGCCTCTCATGGGCTGGAGTCTCACATCTGGACAGAAGAGATAAATCTGTATATGTGTAAGTACGTGTGTTTCTGTGTGCAGATGTAATGGATTGTTGGCTGGGCTCTAAAGCAAGACATGGTCAAGTTTGTCTTCTAAACACACACACACACACACATACTCAGTCTCTTCTCTAAATCAATTTGACCTGTTATGGGTAGGATCAAGATAACCCCGAGAAGAAATGCAACAATCTTATGAAAGGTACAGTTAGCAGCAAACTGTTAATATTTTTTTAAAAAAAGATTTATTTTCACTACTCAGGTGACCCTGATGACGCAGATAAACCTCCAGGTGGCCTCAATGACTCTGTAAAACAGTGTTTCTCAACCTTGACAATTTTAAGGCATGTGGACTTCAACTCCCAGAATTCCACAGCCAGCAATGCTGGCTGTGGAATTCTGGGAGTTGAAGTCCACATGCCTTAAAATTGTCAAGGTTGAGAAACACTGCTGTAAAAGAATGCAAATGACCAGCTGCCTGCAAGGAGTATAACTCCTGCCATTCCCCACCATCCAGTCAGAGCTGAAGAAGCTTCTTGGATGAGAAGTGAAATGTCTTCAAAGAGAAAAAAGAAAGTCCATTTGCCTCCTGAAAAACCACCTTTGGGACAATCACATGACTGAGAATCTCCATAGACACATAGAAGTCATAATGTTTGTGCGATGACAGTATCACTTGCCATCCTCCAGGTCTATGAACATAAATAGCTTTAAAAATTTGTATCACACCTGACTATGGGTCTTCTACTGTTAATAGGGACAATGAAAGTCAGGGTTCCCCCACAAAAAAGGGCAACAAAGGCTGGAATAGGAACCCTGAGAGAAAAACAGCAGCTCAGGAGGTGATTAAAAAAAACAAAACAAAATGGCGGCCAAGGCTATCATCATAACTTTTTCCACCCCTGCTTCTCTCCCCAGGCTCCCTTGTCAGCAGTTGGTGGACCTGTGCAAGCGTGTTGAAGGTTCAAGCAATATATTCTTGTACCATCTGAAGTGTGTGAATCATCTTCACAATTTTGGATCATCTTACCTTGGCAATTCAGAATTCACGCCATCGTTTTTCCTTGCATTTTTTTTCCCATGCCTTCATTTTGATAGCCCTTTCAAGGATCAGCCACTAGATGTCGCAAGTGTTGGTCCAGCATCTGCACATGAGAAGGGAACAGAGAAATAACAGTGTTTCGTTCACAAAGAGGAGGAAAGGATAATGAGGGAATGAAAACCAGATGTGTCGACAAATATGAGACAGTGACTGCTTCCATGCCCTGTTCACAAACTTCTCTGAGTCTCTGGCTGGCCACTATTAGAAACAGGATACTGGATTAGACAGGCCCTCAGTCTGAGCCAACAGGACTCTATTTATGTTCTGCTAAACATATCTGGCACAGCCAGTATATTTCTGAAAATTTCATTGCTCAATGAATGGGTGGGATCACATTTTAATAGTAAACCAAACCAAACTCAGAAATGCAAAAGCCCGGATCAGATGTAAACGCTATATTCTCTGACTGGAGAATTCCCTGTAGGAATTATTAGTGATTTCTACGGGACCACCGTGTTTCTTTGCAGGTGCTAATCCATGGTTAACTGGACCATAGCTTACTGAATAAGCCTAAACTGTCCGAGTTCATGCAGCCACCTATTAGCCATTACCAGCTGCATTTCCACAACACATAACCACAATTTAGTCTAAGATGTTGTACATACCCAGTGTAGATTTCAGCACAGATGTAGCTGTTGTAAAGCTACATCTTTTCCTCTCTTGCCTAATGGTGTACTGCTGAGGTCAAGACAAATGGCGATTCAAAGCAATTTGCATAACGAATGGAACTTCTCCTATTAAAACTGGAGATCCCGTGTTGATTCTTCTAATGTCCTTCCTTCCTTCCTTCCTTCCTTCCTTCCTTCCTTCCTTCCTTCCTTCCTTCCTTCCTTCCTTCCTTCCTTCCTTCCTTCCTTCCTTCCTTCCCAGCTTCCCATCTGAATAGAATCATCTACAAACCATTCTTTATCCAACTGATTGATAGTTTCCTGAATCTCACATTGCAAAGCAATCTGGGGAACAGCGTTCCCCCCTGGAGAGGCAGCCAAAATGTTTCATTTTTCTTAAACGGATTTACGTAAGAAGGCCTCTCTGCTGCCCAGTGGGTTAAGCTTTTATGGCTGCTTGCCTTAGATCTTTCTTCCACAGTCTTGTGCTTTGCCAGCTTTCCAGGTGCTGAGGTTTCTTTTTTCTTTTGGCAAATGCTCCAGACAAATGGTCTTGTTAGAACTGTTTACTCGATGGGGATGTTACTGGTGTCATGCCCCATCTCTTTGTATATAGTGTAACTTCTCCCCTATGGACGAGGCATTGCAAAGAAGAAACTTTGGTTAAACAAGTCTTCGTTTCTATTGTTAATTTGGCTGATTTCCATGGCTGCATCTGTTCTTTCTGGCTACAGTACAGCCTCCAGCCCACGTGTATGATAGAGATCTGGATGAACAAATACCGTCAGGCTTTCATCTCTGTCAAGCTGCAAAGAGGATCCTTCTCTCCCTGGATGACCTGACATTTAGCCATACATCCGCAAGTTGCCGGATTTGAATGTTGCTTTTCAAATAATAATTGTTGCCTTCAAACTGGTAGATTCTCATCCTTTCTCAGAGTTGTTCGAAGCCCTTGGAATGGATGGTCTAATCCAGGGGTAGGCAACCTTGGCCCCTTCATGACTCGTGGACTTCAACTCCCAGAATTCCTGAGCCAGCATGGCTTAGCTTGGAAACCTCTCCCTTTCCTCTCAGCGTGGCTGGCTCAGGAATTCTGGGAGTTGAAGTCCTCGAGTCATAAAAGAGCCGAGGTTGCCTACCTCTGGCCTAGGCCTAGGCCACTTTATGACTCGTGGACTTCAACTCCCAGAATTCCTGAGCGAGCATGGCTCAGCTTGGAAACCTCTCTCTTTCCACTCAGCATGGCTGGCTCAGGAATTCTGGGAGTTGAAGTCCATGAGTCATAAAAGAGCCAAGGTTGCCTACCCCTGGATCTCAGGGAAGGGAAGGGACAGCAAAATCTAATATGGTATACTTAGAAATAAATGTAATAATGTTAATGGTGCTTCTTTCCCGATATGTACAGTACACAGGTAGTCCTCGTCTTTACAACAATTCATTTAGTGACAGACCAAAGTTATAACGGCACTGAAAAAAGTGACTTATGACCATTTTGCATACTTATGACTGTTGCAACACAGTTACAACCTTTGTAGCATCCCCGTGATCAATTCAGATGCTTGGCAACAGGTTCATACTTATCACCATTGCTGTGTGCCAAGGTCATATGATTCCCTTTGGCAACCTTTTGACGAGCAAAGGCAATTGGGAAGATTCACTTAAAAACTGGGTTACTAACTATCAACTGCAGTGATCCACTTAACGGGGGCAAGAAAGGTCATAAAATGGGGGCAAAACTCACTTAAGAAATGTCTCTCTTTTATAACAGAAATAACAGATTAATAACAGAAATTTCGAGATCAATTATAGTCATAAGCCGAGAACTACCTGCATAGAATTTCAGCCAAAAATGCTTTGTTGCGCCCCTAGATATCTGGGGCGGGCTGGATGAAAGTTTAGCTCATTAAGTAGACTAATTTAAGACCTAGAGATTTCAGTGTTCCTATGTTAAATGCTGGACCATAAGAAAGGCTGAGCGCAAAAGAATTGAGGCCTTTGAACTATGGTGCTGGAGAAGACTCCTGCAAGTCCTCTGGACTGCAAGGTGATCAAACTGGTCAGTCCTAGAAGAGATTAACCCCGACTGCTCTTTAGAAGGCCAGATCCTGAAGTTGAAACTCAAGTATTTTGGCCACCTAATGAGAAGGAAGGACTGACTGGAGAAGAGCCTAATGCTGGGAAAGATTGAGGGCAATAGAAGAAGGGGACAACAGACAATGAGGTGGCTGGATGGAGTCCCTGAAGCAGTAGGCATGAGCTTAAATGGATTCCAGAAGATGGTAGAGGACAGGAAGGCCTGGAGGAACGTTGTCCATGGGGATGGGTTGGACATGACTTCGCAACTAACAACAACACAATGTTAAATACAGTGAAGGGCTGATCTGCAGCTTGTTCCAACGTGAGGGTGGTATATTGACCGTATCTTAAGGAAGGAACTCAGGATCCCATCTTTTCCATACACCTAAGCCTCTCCATCTTTTTCTGTTATGTGTTGAAAGCAGTACTTCTGACGCGTGCTATCTTTTTGCTTTTGCGCTTCACTTCAGGTAGGCAAAGTTCTCCACCTCAGTTGGATCCTCTGCACTGGGCAGGAATCATACCCCCCCCCCGCTCACTGTTCCTCTCCATTGGCCATTGTCAACCAATGGAAGAGTGCAGAGCTGGGCTTGATCCAGGGGAGGTAAAAAAAAGTAGGGGAATCTACTAGTCAGAAGCTGGAATAAACATGATCCAGACATGGTATCAGACCCTAACTGATAGGAAAGGAATTTGTTAAGACAGTTTCATTTACAGGGGGGGTTTCACATGAGAGACAAGCAGCAGTGTAGAAATGTCATCTTGTGGGACCTAAGAAGCCTGCCTTTTTGGTGGTGGCTCCTGCTTTTTAGAATGGCATCTTCTTCCCAGAAATTTGTACTGCCCCGATCTTTTTGACTTTCTGGAAACGGTTAGAAATTTTGTTTTCATCTTTTAATTGTCAGCTGCTCAGAGTTGTTGAGAACTTAGGCAGCCTGAAAATTGCATTCAGTAAGTATGTCAACGCTGCTAACATCGGATGTTCTTGCTTTGACAACAGATGGAAATGCAGCCATTTTTCTCTATTGCTTTTAGAGTTAGTTGATACTGGGAGGGGGAATGTGGATGAGAGTCCAGCTAGACATAACAATAATAACTCAGCTGTGGGAACCCAAGGTCATTAGGCCCAGAGCTGATGGTGTTTTGGCAGCTGGAGAGCTGGGGAGAAAGCCTGCGCTTCAAACTAATTGGGGAATGTGATTTATGACTGTTTATTGGAGGAGGGAATTGTACTTTGTTACTTTGTATCCAGGGGAGGGGAATTTAGTTTTTGGTTTCAACTATGTAGTGCCGATACGTTGTTTCTCGAATAAAAGATACCTTAAGGTAAACAATGCCTCAAAGTTCTTTTGAAGAGTTTCATCTGTCGGAACCATGACAAAGTAAATAAAAACACAGTTAGGACCACAACTGAGTCCCAAATTTCTGTTGTTAAGTGAGACATTTCTTAAGTGAGTTTTGCCCCATTTTACTATCTTTCTTGCCACAGTTGTTAAGGAATTCACTGCAGGTTGTTAAGTTAGTGACATGGTTGTTAAGTGGATTTGGCTCCCCCACTGAGTTTGCTGATCAAAAGGTGATCACATGATCTTGGGATCATAACCTGTAAGATGTTTTCAGTTTTGTTTTGTTTAAAAAATTCAAGCGAATGACACTATCCACAAAATTACCAATATGTGGCAGGAACAACTCAAAGAATAAATGTTAGGGTTAGGTTTAGATAAGATAGATAAGATAACCTTTATTGTCATTTTTTTTACTGTGCGCACAACCTTACACATCAAAAAATGAAATTTAGTTGCCCGCTCTCAAAGCAAAACACATATATGACACACACCTAAACATACTATATACAACATATGTATAGACCCACATCCTTACATATACATAACAAATAAATATTAACTACTGTTCATCTTGAGTATATAACGGAAGGAGGAAGCTTGAGAGTTCACAAGGTTAATGCTGTATGGAATGAAACTATGGCTGAATCTGGATGTCCTGCTGCGGATACCACAAAGCCTCCTCCCAGAAGGTAGTAAGGAAAACAGGTCATGAAGAGGATGTGTAGTGTCCCAGATTGACCCTACTCAAGCAACACTTCTGTGTTATGTCGTGGATGGGAGGGAGGGAACTACCGATGATCTTTTCAGCTGTCCTCACCACTCTCTGCACCTCCTTCCTGTCTGAAGCAGAGATGGGTTTAGGGTTCATAAGTACAAAGCAGTTGCCAAGTATCTGAATTTTGGTCACATGATCATGAGGCTGCTACAAAGGTGGCAAGTGTGAAAAATGGTCATCATAAGTCACTTTTTTCAGTGCCGTTGTAACTTCGAATGGTCACTAAAGGAACTATTCTAAGTTGAGGACTGTCTGTACTCAGTTCACTGGCATCTGCAAGGGACTTTCCAAAAAGCAAGATTTGGGGAGAAAGCCCAGCCTTTTTGAAGATGATGTATAAAACGGGTGAGGCTTGCACATTACCGCACACACATTACTGCTTCCACCTATATCTAACTTATTTTTAACAAAGCTTCACATTAAAGCAGACATTTTACTGTGAGAACTAAGGAACGTGTAAGGCACATTTTTTTAAAAAGGCTAGGTCTTTAGACACAAGATCACGACTGCCATCGGGATTTTTCTGATACTCCGTGGATGCCCCCAGATGGATAGCCTGTGACTTGATCTCAGTCCTTTAACAAAAGAGGTAGTGATTCGAAGTCAGCTGCATCAATAAATAACACAAATCATAAAAGGTCTTTGAAAAGGTTTAACAGCTGATTGGAACATGTTACGAATACTTCAGTAGAGAGGATGTTCTGTTTCTTACAACTAAGGGGTGACCTCTCCCCCCAACCTCAGCCCCCAACCTCCTCCTTTCAGGAAGAATGGTGATCAGGTCAACTTGTGTTATCAATGACACAAACACAGAGTCAGATCCTAAACTCTGCTGGCTCCATGGATTGTAAGAATTCATCTTTGCCATAAAAGTTTGTCACTGTTTGGCCATCATAATTAGTACTTGGGAT